CCATTACTTCGGGTTTCGTGCATAAGCCAACACAAACATGCACATACAAATACAGACACAGACACACTCACATGCATCGAAGTTGACATATGACCGTAACTAATCAAATCACTTTATACTTGATCAAAGAGACCAGATGTAGAGTAAATGTACCACTTTTTAGGGATTCGTGAGTGAGTTTTCTTGACTCGTCAGCTTTTATTTGGTTGTGACGATGATACTTTGATGCTCTGATGATGCTCGTCATGTGACGCATGAAAGCTCAGCACCTTTTCGCCGGAATCGAAGCAGGTCCACGTCGGAAACAGCGTCAGCACGAATGTCCCAGTAAAGCCAATCGACAGCTGATCAAGAGATCAACAGCAGTCGGCGTAGAAACACGCGTTGTGTCCAGCCTATTTCGTGTAAGGGGTTGAAGGAGTGGTAGTTGATTTTCCTATCCTTCATCACATCAGACCGAATGGGGTAGTACAACGCGTAGATCTGGTCTAATGGTCATCTCGAAAAGCAACTCTTTTGCGCGAAAACATGCGTCGAACCCGTGACGGGGACAACAGGACTTTCGGGAGGCCTAGGCCGAAAGGAGAGATTTGGCATTCTCAGCTCGACAGCCGAAGGCGTCTGCTTCGAGTCCCTTCGACAGACGGGCTTGCGAGAGGACATCGCACATTGTCTTCCGGCTCGTCTGGCGTCTGTACCAAGCTGCACAGGAATGCTGACAGTACGCACTGTTGCGCAGCCCTGAGGCCGGATTTCTGGCGAGACGTACCTCGAACATGAGGATGCGTCAAATATTTCGGTTTGTTGCCATGTCGCAACTATGCCGTAAGGCATGCGGTAGTCATGTACACTTTTGGGTGTGTGTGTGTGTGTGTGTGCGGACAGGTGTATGCAGACATACATTCGCATACGCGTATGCATGCATATGTGCTTATTTGTATGTGTGTATTTTTGCATGAATTTAGCAAACTATATATGCCCATTTATTTGTTTACAGTTTAATTCTCGCATGCAAGAAACCAGGTCTTGTGGTCATGCAAAATAGCCAACTTATACTTTGGAATATTCTAGTGTGTGTGTGTGTGCAGTGAAAAGTGGAGGGGGGGCAGGGCAGGGGTGCTCTACGGTAAATCTACAAGGCCATAGCTACCTCCAAAACAATTTGCATTTCAGTTGCAGGCTTGGGTTTTAATGCAAATGAGGCCGGGGAGAAACTGGTTGATGAGACTAATTTTGGCTCACAAAACAATCATGATAGCCAGGAGAGAGCAATCTCGATAGCGCGCACACACACACACACACAACCGGACCACAATATGCCCATTCAAGGACGAGGTTGAGCAGATTGTCTGGCTGAGGGGAGTGTGCGAATGGCCCCTCACGTGGAAGGTACCGGTCTGCGGCGAATGGAAACAGTTTTCCCTTTTCTGGCCCTGGGAAGGCAAAAAGCCATCGCCATCTGCCTACTCTTCGAATGAGACATAATTTCCTTCATGTGCGCATACGAAATGGGTAATCTAAACGACTAGGTTGGGGTAGTTCTTACAAGAGTCAAACCCTCCACAAGACAGTTGGTTTTTGCATGAATGTATGCATGTGCGCCAAATGACTGAGTTACTTAAATAACCGTTAGTAGTATGTTACTGTCTATTCGAAACGAGTGAAGCCTAGCGTTTGAGCACAAAATGGGCCGAGTGGTTAACGTGTCAAGT